TAGCCTAGTACCGGCCAGCGGGTACTTTTTCCCTCTTTTTCCGGCCTCATAAAATCGTGGTTCCCTCAGACCAGGGCCAGGGCTGAACTAGTGACGTCAACACTCTCGACTGCTGATTGGTCAGAGAGAATCGTCACAAGATTGCGCGCGAGTTCATCCCTAGCGTCGCATATATATCTAGAAGCAAGCTTGCAGCATTTTTATACACAGCATTTTGTAAACGGAGGAGCTACAAAAATGGCTACTTCTAAGAAAAGCACACCGTGGTCGGCCGAGGAGGTGACGACGTTCCTTCATCTCATTGGGGATGATACAATCCAGCGGGAGCTCGACGGAACAACTCGAAATGTGAACAAAAACAAAGCCGATCGCCCCGCCTACACTGCGTTGCTAGCACAGGTCCTAAACTGTAATGGAAATGCGCCACGGCCTCGGACGGCCAGTGAGGCAGCCCGAGGCCAGAGCGAGGACGCTTAGGGACGCTTAAACGGGGCTACCCCGCTGCAGTGGAAACGCGCCATTAGTGTGCCCAAAAGCACAAATGGCTCTCCTGACCAAAACCGTGAAATATTACGGCCATATTCATCACCAGGTACACCGAGAGAAGAAGAACAGACTGCGTGATATAAACAAACAACAAATAGCGTGTGCGTTCCATTTTCACTCTACAACGAGAAGCTCATGGGGCTTTCCCGAACCTGTGTCGAGAGCTGGAGTTAAATGAAATCTCAGATTGGCCTTCTTAATAGTTTGTTTGGGTCCCTCACTTCCGTTTTGCTTCTCATGCACTGATTCGCTAAGCTGAACAGCCAATCAGAGGGATTTCTTTGGCCGAACATGACGAATCGGCGGGGGAAAGTGTCGGCACGGCCGAAAAGACACAACGGTGCAGTACACACCAAGACACACTAATCTGAGTAGGGTGACACGACGCTCATCGACGGCCCGACATCTATCGACGCCGAAAATCGGCTTGGTGTGTAAGGACCTTTACAGCAACAGCCTGGAAGATTCACAGCAGGATAGAAGAGGAAGATGCATAAACAGGAAGACTTAAAAATCATGAAGATACTTTTTTAAACCTGCGTAACTGATTTTGTTTGCATACTCATGGCAGTGATGTGACAATGACATATTTTCCCTCCGCAATGACGGAGCAGCATTTGCATTCATGTGGAGATGTGGATTAAATATTCTCTCTCTTTTAGATCTGTAACACCAGAGGGAAATATCTGACTTTTAAACTGCCCTTTATTCCACTGTGTTTACCAGCCACCAACTAACAGGGCCTGCTGTTTGGTGAGTAGGTAGTGTACAGTGTTTTTGTTACTTTTTCCCTAAAGGAAAGCGGCCAAAAACTAGACTGTGAGAAATGTGAAAGTTAACCAAAACAGTAATGTTGGGGATGGCGGATAAAATTCTCTGCAGTCACTACAAGATTTTCGTTCACATTTTCATTCAATACAGTACACTTTTGTTATTATATAAAATAAAGCCGATACAAAGTGCCACTAAGTCACTGAAGCAGTATTAGCATGGAAGTCGAGATACAGAAGCAGCTGTTGTAAGACTGTACTTCCACTGTAATGTAACAAATTAAAACAATAATTGCTAATGACTCTTATAATACAATTTTCTCTCATGTAATTGTAACACACATATCCCTTAGGCAACATGAGCATACAAACAATTTAATTTCCCCTGGAAACAGATGCAGCTTGATCCATCTCTGGCTCTGTGGTGATACTGTCAGCAGCAGACAGATAATAGGGCCACACTCACAGTCTCCTCCGAATGTGCAATCATTCTGAATTACGCACAAAAGGAAGGACATAAACAGGAACTTTCCAGGGAAATGGATCCAAATATAGCTCCCATTTCCAGTAAGGAAATACTTACAAAAATAGCATGAGCAGCACCTTATAGACACACATAAAGAGCTGTGCACAGAAGGGTTTATTCAGATAATCCCAGTGTATCCTTTAAACCAGCTGTGTTGTAGTTTAGGAGGGGCTACAACGAACCATTTATTTTATTCAGCAGACTTACCGTCAAGGAAAGAAACAGTTGCGTATATTTTGTATGCCATCTTTAAATCTATCAAGCAAAAACGCCAAATATTCCTTTAGTTCTAGCTTACAAAAAGCATTGTTTTGTTGTTTTCCTATACCATTAACAACATCAGCTTTGCCTTTGAGAAACTACTAGGCACTGTTATCTGACATTATATATAGACTACAAAAATAACCAATTAAAATTAATTGCTGATGAAAATAAACATTAGTTAGAGCCCTCAAAATAATCTGACATGTCGACAAAGGGATTTACTTAAAGGTGGGGTAGATACATTTGAGAAACCGGCTCGAGATACACTTTTTGTTATATTCCATGGAATGCTCTTAACATCCCGATAGCAATGAATATGGCCTAACTGTCTCTCAGCCTTCCATCTGTGAACAAATGTATCTCGTGCCCTCATTGGTCATGTGCGCGATCGTGTGTGTTGGAGGAGGGGCTCTGTAAGGAAGTGGCAGATTTTTTCCGGTTGTGTATTTTCAAATTCTAGCGCACTCGAGCTGGTTTCTCCAAAATTACCTACCCCACCTTTAACCTAAAACACCAGCTATCACTCAGCTGGATGTAAAACAAGCCACAACATCTCCATTTGTTACTAAAACCACAGACCCCGGATCAGTCCTCGGGAGCGAACAGGATGCAACACCTTACTGACCAGACGTGGCTGAACCGCAAGTAAACCCCTGCTACAGTCAGCCACTAATAGCATATACACTGGGAGGCTGTAAATAAGAAATACGGAATTATACACTTTTAAACATGTGCGCCAACAGGGTTACACAAAAAACTGAGTATATAGCCTCAATCTGAGGTTATAGTTCAACTGTAAAAGGTAAATTATCACAATTACTCTAAAAGAGCATACAAAATAGACAGCCGCACAACAATCAGTGCCTGGGTCAAAGCAATTTGAGTGAGGCAACAGGGACCAGCCCCAGCCAGGATCCATGCCTGGCTTCAATGGTACCAAGTGATTAACACAGACTGCGCCAGACAGGGATTTTTACAACACTGGAGCACAGCTCTCTCCTGACAGCCAACACTCTCACTGGTAGAGCAGATCTAGAGGGAAAGGATAAATCTTAGGAGGAAACTCAATACATGATTGAGGCAAGAAAAGAGTCTAGGAGAAAGAGTAGAAGAAGGGGGAGGCGAGGTGAGGTGATAACAATGTGAGTAACACATTTCACGCCTAGACTACTGCAACTCCCTCCTGGCTGGTCTACCTGCATGTGCCATCCGACCCTCGCTGCACCCTCGCTGCGAGGGGGACCCAAGTTCCCATCAGCAAAAACACGTGGGTTTGCTATCCTGGCTCCAAAATGGTGGAATGAGCTCCCCATTGACATCAGGACAGCAGAAAGCCTGCACATCTTCCGGCACAGACTGAAAACTCATCTCTTTCGAGTCCACCTCGAGCGATAGAATTACTAACAAAGAACTGCTAACAGAGCACTTATATACTAATAAAGGACTGGCTTATCTAAAGCCAGTTGAGTAGCACTTGAAATGTTTGGCTCTATGAAACCTGATGTACTTATATGATTCTGTTTTCTTCAAGGTTGTGTCTTCCTGGTCGAATGTACTTATTGTAAGTCGCTTTGGATAAAAGCGTCAGCTAAATGCAATGTAATGTAATGTAATTTATCTTCACGCATAAAAAAGTAGACAAGAGCAAGAGTGCTAGTCTCTCATTAATCTAACAGATGAGGGGGAAATGCAGGCCCATTAATCACTCCTGCTGGCTAGTAAACAAAAGGCCACTCCGCTCCAGATTTTTCCTTGACAGTTCATGGCACACGTTTTCAGGGAAAATATATAGGAAATCTGTACAGAATCCGCATGTATAAAAAAAATTTGTTAGAAGTTTATGTGCATAAAGTATAAATATGTACATCTAAATTGGTATCTTGAGTGAATTTCAGTTTATAATTACTTGAGCCTGATTTGCACTGGGCAAAATCAGACATGCAGCCTCCAACCTCCAAGGAACAAATGTGATATGAACTGAAATGCTAATTCAAAACAGCACATGCACACCATCTGCGCGTCCATATTCAGAAACAGTCACTTTTACTTCTACTATAGCTAATAATGGATCAGCAAGCATTGCATGATGAAAAGAGCCATTAGGCCAACATTCAGTTACTTTGGGGCGATTTGCATAAATGTATCAAATAAAAGCTGCAGTCAAGCAGTTTAGAGACAAGAAAAAGGATAGATGTTAGAGCTGAAAATACAGCTGCAGGAAACTCTCTATTAGAGGAGGCAACAGTTACATTAAGTCGTAAAGCATTTCCTGGAGTTCAGAGCGAGGTTAGGACAACAGGACACATTAAGGATGTCTGGAAGGCAATGTAATTGAACAGGAGAACAGAACAGAGGCAGGGTGGTGTGGAAGGAAGATGGAGTCTGTCGATGATACAGTCACATAATACTCACACCACAGAGGGCACTTGTGTTAGACTCAAATCATTGCCAGACCATCTGTGCCGGGTACATGATGCTATTACCAAGTGACAACCTTGACTATCCATGCAAAAGCTCCCTTGCCACTGTTCTGATCCACTTGGGGGTTGAACTGCAGATATGCTGGCATAGACACATTATCTCCAGGGGTGGTAAAGAGGCACTACAGGGTATTAACGGTTTGCTCCCTAAAATGCAGCGAAAGGTTTGTGAGCTGATGGGGGAATACATGCAGCCTTAAGTCTCACTGTTTTAGCCAATTTGTAGCAACTGCATGCTTCTGACCTTTGAGTTGTATTATCCTTGATAGGAATTCAACAAAGAAAGTTTGCTCTTTTCATACTGTTAGCTCAAATAAATCTAAAAGATAAAAGCAAACAGCTAAAAGTACTGAACTTAGTACATCTCTAATATGCAGGGTAATTTAATGCAATATTTTTCACAAGAGCACCTACCTTTGAGCTGGTCAGCCACAACACTGTGTCCTATTCTCTCAATGACTTGTCCATCTTGATGCTGGTAGCGGTCGTCCAGGAAGTTGGCAGTGGCCTCTGATAGGTGGACCTTCCCAGCCACTCCCAACTGCTCCATTAGGTTGGCCAGGTTGACGTCATTTGACCAAACATCAAACTTGAAGCGTTTCATGCCCAGGATACCACAGAGCACAGTACCAGTGTGGACACCCACTCTCATGTTGACCATCTCCCTCTTCTCCTGGCAAAACTGTTCAATAGCCTGAATCATGCCCAGGCCCATCTCTACACAGCAATAAGCATGGTCTGGTCTGGGTTCAGGACAACCAGCCACGCAGTAGTAACAGTCTCCTAAAGTACTGATTTTTTCACAGCCAGTGAGCTCACAAAGTCGGTCAAAACGTCCGAATAAGTCATTTAGAAGCCCAACAAGGGCATGAGCAGATTTATTGGCCGACATCTTGGTGAAGCCCACAATGTCTGCAAAGAGGATGCTGACAGGCTCCATCCGTTTCATGTTAAAGGGTCTGAATATGATCTGGCCACGAGGGATGGAGGTGTTCTTGCGTTTATTGTTTTTAGGGCTAGAGATGACAGCTGCTGCACCGCTTGTGGAGTATCGTTTAACAGAATTGTCCCCTATCTCCTCGTCACCCTGCTTCATGAGTTCATCAGCAACGATTCTGGGCATGACAGAGTGGATCATTCGCTCTTTCAAGGCTTTCTCCACCTCCAGATCTTTGCCATGCATGATAGCTTGTCCCACCTTAAGGAAGGTGCTTCGCGAACGTACCTCGGACATAATGAACAGGTGGATGCCAATGGCGTGGGCACAGAGGTGGAGCAGAGCTTTGGCTGGGCCAAGCCAACATAATGTATCCCAGTCTGACAGAGAGGCTAGGCTCCAGTTATCCCCGGCCTGCGTCAGATGCAACCAGCTCAGACTCTCAAAAAAGAAAGAGTAGAGAAACCCGAGCATGATAGAAGCATAGAGGCGAACATGGAGAACACTGTATAGCAACAGAAGAACCTCAATACAGAGGGAGAAGGTGCCTACAGGAGAAATACAAGGGGACCAGGAGCTACTTCCTAGAGGCTTATCATAGGACAGGTTGTAATTGGGCCCCATGCCACTGAATTCTTCCATATCAAGTGCAGCTGTTGGAGTCTCTGTATCCCTGAAACTTGATGTCTGGATCTGGGGGGCCAGGGTTAGGGTGAAGGTTACAATGATGAGCAGCAGCGAAGCTTGGTTGTAGCAGCGAGAGTAAAGCTTGGTAAAAGTTAAGAGAAAGAGAATGAGGCAGAAGAGGAGGAAAGACGCAGTGGGAATAAGAAAGGCAAGCCTGTCACAGCGGGAAGGGTTTGCAGCAAAATACAATCCCCAGAGGAGGGCAGCGACAACCAGGTAAAACAGCACATAGCGGAAGCGCCGCCGGGTCTGAGGGAAACATCGTTCTCTACAGGCTTCTTCCAGGATTGAAGAGTCAAATTTAGGGTCCCAGAAATGACCAGCAGATCGCTCAAAAAGCTGAGGCATCTTTTTCTGTGAGCGAAAGTTCTTAACCACTGTCCTCTTGACTCCAGACTCTCCAGAACTGCAGCTGGATGAAATGCTGTACTTGCAATGCTTGGATCCCCCCATGAAGCCTCCTCCAATTGAACCCAGCGGCCCGCCTCCATGCTTGTGTTTGACACTACTGCCAATCCTAACGGAGACGCCTCCATCTCCACTCGAGTCACAGCTCACTTCTGTGTTGCGAGGCAGCAGTTGTTGATGATGGGGGGATGCCATGTTGCTTTTTAATCTATTCAAAAAATCAGAGACTAAGTAAAGCTTTGTATGCGGCTGCAGTATATCAACTAGTGCAATTATTGTTTAATCTTAAAAGTAAAAAACATCTCAGAGAAAACTACACTCAGTAAGCAGTGTAATGGCTATAGAAACACCAGCAGACCTTCCACAAGTTTTGGCTTGTTCATTATTGCCCCTCATGACGTCAATCCTGCATTCCTCTAAATTCCCGTGTGTTGGACGCACTTGACTGCACAGTTAACTCGCTGCTTGCTCTGTTATTTTCCAAATCCACACAAAGTTGCACCCACTCGAACAATATTTTGGAAAACTCGACAATTACAAAATAATCTACGTAAGGGGAAAAAAAGAAACAACCACTTGAAAATGTGCTTAAATGGTTCTTGTGAAATCGTGAGTTTGTGAAATCAAATCCAGTTACATTTTCGAATAGCCTGATGCAATCAATATCCTTTTTTAATTATCAGTGCATGTCCTATCCCAGTTCTCCACTCCGTTTTCCGTTCAGCTCCACTGAGGACACAATACCTCCTGGAATTAATGCCGTTTTGTTTACAGGTCTGAGCAAAACTTCATCCAAAAAAACACCCTCCGCAATGTTTGATTGGACTCCACATCTGTGATTTGCGGTCTCGATGGAAAAAATAGTTTTTAATTTAAAGACGCAGAGAAACTCCAGGTACAGGGCACGAGAGCGCAATAACTGCAATCAGCGTTTTTATTTAGACACACACTCTTCTTGCTGCAGGGCCTAATAGCTACTATTTCCGCGGACGGAGCCCCGTCCTTTCCTGACTTTCTCCTCGCAAGTCTCCGTCACTGCTGCATCTCCAAAACAAGGGGATCGTTAGCAGAGGACACATTCATGAGACCTGAGGCGCAGACAATCCCGATAAATTGTTTTATTACAATTGACCTTAGCTGTCAGTAACTCGTGTGTAATGGGCTTTTCACGAAACAGTGTTGGGTCTGCGTTAGTATGCCTTGGATCCCACAATAAAATCAATGTAGCCAATTCATCGTCACTGCGCCCCACGGAATGTCCAGATATTGTGACCATGTAGGTTCCTGAGATCAGCCTTGAGCAGACTGCATGAAGTATCGTCCTGTCTCTCCTTTTTCTCTCAAGTGAACTTTGCCCACCGTTGCTCGATCTCAAAGGCAGACAACGAAAGCCCGGAGAGTGTGGGGCTAATTACAAGGTATCCACCTCCGTTCCAATGCCCCCCCCCCCCCCCTCCCCACACACCCACACCCACCAGGAGTCCCACAGGTCAGAGCTGAGTGCCGCCTTGATCCAGACACTTTAATTGAATTGCACGGGATAAACAAGAGCATGTCTTCATACCTCAAACGAATTCCTCTTAAATTCCAGGAGAAATATGGGCTGAAGGCTCAGGGCTGCTGAATAGTCCAGCCTGTCCATTCCCAGGCTCGTTCAGTGCAATAATAGATTGTTTTATCCCCGTTATCCGACCACTATCTGTGCGCTGCAGCAGAATGGTTGCTTTCTATGCAGGCGCGGTGCGCAACGCTGAGACCGCAGCCGCCACCATCTTCTGTGCGCTGACAGCCGTCCAGCAGCGAGTAATGTGTGTGCTTGAGTGTGTGACTGTGAATACGTGTGCCAGTGTGTAAAGTACGCCGAAACGAAATAGAGATGACCGATTTTTTCTTTCAAAATAAAACCGCATGTGCATTTAATGGCATAAGAAAACGATACATTGATAGGTGGTCTACTACTTTTGTGACATCGACCTGTCACCTGTTTTCACCAATAGAGCAACTCACATGACTTAAAATGTAAATTAGTTGGCATGAAGAACAAGGTAGACTATTGTTATAATTCTCCTTTCAAATAAAGAATAATTATGTCCACCATGAGAAACAAAAACAAAATTCAACTCCAACAAACACTCATGTCAATTTTTTTGGATGAGTGCATTTATTTGATGCAACTTCACACTGCTACACAGAAACAGGAGCACCTCTCCAATGTATCAAATGCTCCAGCTATTCCCTTCTTTGGAGGCCAAACTCAATATAAAGCCAGACTTTATAGTGCCAGAATATATTCAAATATTTGCTTCTATCATAGGGCACATGCTTTCAAAGGCTCTAAAATATGAATTTCAACCCAAAAAAGCGATTAAAAACAAAATGAAGGTGCTTTATTTTTGAAAAATGTGTTTCCGGTTTGGTGGCTACCGTTGGCTTGACACAGCTTTCTATTTGGCGAGCACGCGCTTGATAGAAAGAAAAAGACTGAAGTAACGAGCACGTTCTTTAGAGAAGGGTGGGGACGAATGATCGACACGAGCCCCTTTCGGTTCAACGACGAAGCCCCTCCACCTTATTGTCTTCCACTTCACCCTTTACAATTATAATATAGTCTTTTTTAATAGTATATCAATGTAAACATCTGTCCTGGGATAATATCAGAGGAAAATTTAGAGGTCTCATTGGGGTGAAATTGAATAACATTATATTTTATTGAGGCTATAGGAGACAAAGTAGCCTACCCAATAAATAGAATGTCAGTAAACTGCTCTAGAGGCTCAAATGTGATGGAGACATTTAATTACATTATTGTGATTTTTAAGGGACGGGACAATATAATCACTCAGTGACACAACAGTCCAGTAGCCTACAAAAAAATAAAAAATAGCAGCCCTTTAGTCAGCATTTTGGCTTTTATAGTTGAACAGTATTGAGGAGAAGCGAAAGTGGACACCTTCCTCCAATCGACCAGCATGTTGGGGAAACATAGCATGTTCCTTATCAAATGAATGAAAACATTTCCTCTGCATTTAAATTACAGTGTCATTTACAATGCTAAATGTTGGGGTCAGCCAGCATTGGAATCACATTTGTTTGCATAGAACTGGACATTTTCAAAATGCAACATTTACTCTGTCTGCAAGTACAACAGTCTAAAAGAGGGATCATTTAAACTGAAAAAACAGTAGTATGTTTGTCTGCCTGCATGAGGTAGAGCACTGCACATGTTTATACGGTTTATACATGTTTATTGTGATCTTTGTATTTGGTGTTGCAAACAGTATGTTCTGTGTGCCCTAAAATTCAGAAATATCCTTTATAATACAAATTATGTAATAAAGGAAGAAAAAAGTGTATGAGAATGTGTGGTCAATGTAAAAAAAAGGGTAATGGGCTTTCGTTTGTGCATAAAAGACTTCTTTAGTATTTGAGTATTTCTGGACTTTATTTAAAGTGAATCTATGGAAAGTAATTTTTGGGGAAGAGTTTAAATAATCTTATAGGTGTGTATGAGGGAGTCTTGGTGCACAACTATCAAAACTACACTCCAAAACATAGTATCCACCACACGCACACCCCTCCCCACTTACAGTCACGACAAACTGCTGGTGCATTGCAGCTACAGAATAAAAACAAATATACAAAATATCCTGTTAACAGCATGAACCCTAGGCATAGTTTTGATAAAGACATATACTGTATGTGTAAGCAAGAAAGAGAGATACAGAAAAAACGAGTTGTTTAAGTCAGTTTCATCACAATAACCACAACATTTCACTTCCTAGTCAATCAGAAATCTTTATTCTTGATGACCAAGCTTCCAAAATTGGGCCAAGATTAATGAAGATGTTATTATACCAAACAAAATAAAAGGTTAATGAATAACTACTTTAATTGGACACACATTCGTTCCAGATCTTATTCACGATTAAATTAGGAAAATTGATGCAGAAATATAGCAAAAGCATTATCACACATGTGATTATCCCAAACTATCACTCTAACAATAAACGACTGCCATGAGTAATAATGGTCTGTGTATCTTTTTACACTTTTACACAGCGCTCTCTGGTGGGCATCTTCTGTATCTGCAGTGTAAACATACTAACACATTCAGTGGAGCACACACAATCAAATAAACAAGGGAAACTAAAAAACGTTTGTTGGTTTCTTATATTTTTCATTATGTTTCAGTGTTTAGTAAGGTAAACAAATGGGGTTAGTGAGGGAGAGGGAACTGGACTAGCTATTGTCCATGAGTTAACATTTCGGAAATATGTATTACAATGGGTAGGCCTATTACTCTTTACCTATCCTTTGATTATTTGGAAATCGGTTAATTAAGGCAATAGTTTTGACGTTTTAGTAGATTGATACCACATTTATGGATGTGTAGCTAGCAGACATTTAGCGTAGATTAGCTTAGTCTGGAAACATATAGCCTACGTATGTCTAGGTTAGGAAAAACAAAGTCCGCCTACCTATACCTACAGAACCCCGCAGGCGACATGTATAGTAGGCCTATGTTAAATTCAGTTTACGCAGAGTTTAAACGATGTGCAAAACTATTTCTGGGCTGGCAGCAGTAAGTTCCATGAGTCTCTGCTATTTGCCTAGCAACCCATTTTCTCGAAGTTACTGCGACTGGCCAAACACTTGTACCCAAAATGTCAAACTATTTTTAGCAGATTTACCATGCCATACTCATGGAAAGTTGTTTGAGGTAGGCTTACATAAGAATTTGCATCTACTACATGCGTCATTGTAAAATATTGTGGATGTAAATGTCAGTAGGCCTTCTGTCAGCTTACTTCTTTCCACAGAGGTCAGGGGTAAACTCAGAAGTCCTCAATTTTACCTTTACCTGCAGCCCGGCTTTTGCAAGCTAGGAAAACGCATTCTTGTTGTGGTAGTTTATACAAATGTAAAGCAGGGAGTATTCAGTACACCTACACAGACTACTTCAATGCCCATTTGGAATAATTACACATTCAAACCAATAAATAGCTTTCTATCCTGCAAAATAAATGGTTGAATAAGACAGCTTTAATCAAAACACATCCTCCATCTTTGTTTGTCATGGTCATTCAGCTAAAAGGGGAAAGAAAATCATAACACAGTATTGAATTCCTGCCAAAGACTGGCAAATTTATAGACGCATACAGAAAACAGTAAGAACAGTTAAGAAGTGAAGCAAAATTAACATACCCAGCCCGCTCTGAAGAGTCTGACCCTTGAACCCTGAACTCTGCTTCTATCACAGTGCCCATGTCATAAGTTGTCAACAACCAGGACTGATGAGCGTATAAAATAAATGGAGAAAAAAAGGCCTTATTTGTTGCATGGCAGGGTTGGTTCAGGTTTCAGTTACATAAGGAAATATTATTTTTAAAACGTTATGCTAGCAGGAATTACATGCATCTGTTAAATAAGATCTAACATGCATTGTTAAAGTTAATCTATGTCAAACGCAAGAGTTGGATGACAAATGCAAAGGCTTATAGCACCCACAAAAAAGACTACTTCAAAATCGGCTTTTGAAGTTTATGGAATTGACTTTCTGCAATGCAGTTCTCAAGATTTTACAACACAAATTTGCAACTTCTGTTTCCACTTTTTCCCATTTTATTCACATACAAGGGAGCTGGTATTTGACTGTTTTCAGTCTCAGGGTTATCAAGATTTTACTGAATTTTACTTTTTCATTTCTGTGCTTCTTTACATAATTAATTCCCCACCCAAAAGAACCCTGTGGTTGTACAAGGGAGAGAAGGGCATATATTTTAACAAAACTCAGTGATTAGTGGCATTTTCTTATTTCTTCAGCATGTGTGTCCTTAAGCTGCCTTATCAAACAATGACCATTCGCTTCTTTTATCTGTCTCATTAATACAGTCCCTAAATGCAACTCCCCATATTATCCTGAGGAAAAAAACAAACACTAATCTCCCTTCTCCTCTGTCTTCTTCATCAATACAGGCATTCTGACAAACGCAAGGGTGGCTCCCACCCGACCCCTTCTCTTCTTACTTCACCCACTCAAGTTATTTGGATTTCCTCAGTTCTTTCGATAACGATTCTTTGGCTTCTCACCACAGCCCGTAGCCTCACAGGAGGTCAGGCCAGGCTGCTTGCCTGAGTTAATGCTGCTCAGAAGGGCGGGCAGCTCATTGGTGATTGCCTTCTCAATCTTATCCAGCAGACAGCCACCCATGTAGGAGCACTGAGCTGTCAGGGGCTTGAAGTTGGTGACAGGATTAACGCCAAAGAAGTCACGGTAAGCATCGCGGTTGGGCAGGTCAAACTTGCTGATGTTGGTCTTGGCTAGGATGGATTTGAAAATGTAAAACTTGTCTGGGTCATCTACGATCTCCTTGAAGACTAGTTCAGGGTCACTGAAGTAGCTCATCTTCTCTTTAAAGGTCTGAACGTAGCGGTCTACCAGCAGGCCGTGAATGCGCACGCGGATGCCGTGTTGGCGGATGAAAGCAACTTTGTTCTCCATGCGGTTTTCAATCACCTGGTTCAGATCTTCCAGGAGAGAGATCTCTTCCCGTTTGAAGAGGTCACGGCTGGTGTCAGGAGCGTAGTCATATGGCCAGAAAGAGCTGACGTAGACACGGGGGGGTTCGGTCACATTGATGAGCGGAGCTAAGCTCCAAAAGAGAGCACCATAGACTCTCATTAAGTCCTGGGTGGCAAGGTTGTCAGCCTTGTTTAGGATGATGCGGATCTGGGATTCACGGCCCTTCAACTGTCGGAAGAGCATCTCCAGCTCAAGGCCTACGTCCAACTTGGTGGGGTCAAATACTACGAAGATCAGGTCAGCACGGTCAATGAACCACTGGCAAACATCATTGAAGGGATAGCCTGGACAGAAGAAGAGAATATGTAAACCCCTAGATACTGAGTTGCAGCCAGATTGCTTTGTGTTTGAAATGTTGGATTGTGTACATTTGCAAACTAAGGTAAAGCTCTCTGTTTACCTCTCTCCTGCTGCTTCCGGTTCTCAATAATTCCCGGTGTGTCCACAAAAGTCACACGTTCCAACATCTTATGGGGCATCTCAATACCAACCAGCTTTTCAAGGAAGTTTTGCCCAAACTTCTCCAAGGGAGAGAAGGACCGAGAGCTGTCTGCTGCCATTACAATACCCTCAACTGAGCGGATCTTCTCCCCATGCGTAATCACAGTGAACTCAGAGGTAGTAGGCTCAGCTCCTGAAAAAAAGGAAAACAAGAGGGAAAGATTAGCAGGAGTAGTATCAAAATATGTTTTGCTGAAAAACGATGCTGTGAAAGTAAACCAAAAAAGTTGCGTGTTAAACTATGCGCCAAAACTCAATTTAAATCTCTTCAAAGCCAAGTGAAGCTGCAGATTCAAGACACGAGTGACCCTTTTCCATCATCACATTGTTTTTCCATTGTCATTCAAATATTGTTATGTTAAAATATTGATTATAGCGATTTTTGATCAACTGAGTAATGGTACTAAATTGTCAGAGATCACTTCATTTATTTTGGATTACAGTACAAAGGATTACAACAAAAAGATGATATTGCTGATCTGTATAACATACCTGTGTAGAGCTGATAGGGGCTATCTTGCATGCCCAGGAGGTAATTGATCATGGAGGACTTTCCTACACTCCAGGGTCCCAGGAACAGCACCATTGGCTTGGAGGTAATCTCTCCATCTGTTAGGCAAGGAAAGACAAGATTGAGTAAAATCTCAGCAGGGTGGCTAAATAATGACAAAGAACCTCTCAAGTTCATCCCAAATGTAATGTGAATAATTACAAAATAACCACTCATGATAGGATTTGGGAGATTGAGAACTTGAGCTGCCAAAAGAAGTCAATATTTGCTTGGCTAGCTTAACAACACTCCATCCATGCGAAAAAAAAATCCTGTGGTTGTTTTTGGGATGAACTATATTTGAAGTCTGAGAACACCAAAGAAGCATGTCAGTACAACACTGTCACTCGCAATCCAGAGCACGAAAATAAATATTTCCTCAGACAGAATGGAAATAAAAAGAAAGATGCCTGTGGAAAGAAAGCTGCAATGCTTTTTTAATAGCATAAGAAGACATTTTACAAAAAAGAGGCAGCCATATTTTAGTACCACACGTCAAAGCAGTGCCTCTGACATACAACGTTGCTTTCAAAGCAATCTGTGTGTCTCTTAAGCTGCCATGTGTGTTGTCAGTGGACATAGTGTGCTAGGGCGCAGGAAAGTTATGTCACAACCTTGTGGTCCAAGGCTGAAAGAACTCAAAAAGATGAAAAAAATCAAAAAGAAGAGAAATTAAAAGAAGAGAACATTTCATCCCAAAAGATACAAAGAAAAAGGTCAAAATAGCCATCCCTGATTATATTGGTCTAAATAATACTATTTTGGACAAAAAGTCAGTCAATTCACTCCCATCACCTCCTGCCAGTGTCCCCTACTCAAGCATGTGTGTTTTGCACATGCAACCCCCTCCAAATGTTACAATGTGAACCCTAACTACACAATGTTATGCTTGTCATCTGTAAATACTGTAGATAATGTGATTACCAAACCATATTCATTTTTTTTTATTATTCTTAAGTAAACCTTTTATTTACATTTCTTCCCTTTTCATTCTTTTGTATTGGATTGGAGTTTTGGTTGGAATTGTGAATCAGTAAATCAAGGGAAAGTAAATCCATGTTGATTAGGCTATAAAACTGCTGCATATCTTGCTCTATATGGGTTGAGCCTTTTGCCTATGGATCACTTTGACTAAACCTAATCTGAAATGTTACATCTGGGTAACCCCAAAATGGTATCCATCCAATTGACTCACAAATGTACAAGGACAAATGAATGGGGTAGGAAGGGGCTAAGCACTTCAGGCAGTGCCATGCACAGGTAAGCCCCGCCGACACCCACCTGGGTCTGAATCCCCCAGGGTTCGTCCGGGGTATGCTGTTAGATGGGGGGAGTGGAGGGAATGGGGAAACGGGACAGTAAAGGGTAGAGTTCAGAGAAGTGAGTGGAACAGGAGGTGGGTGAGAGTGAGGAATGAGGGAGTGAGGTCTCCTGGAGCGGTAGAGTAATAATGTGCAGGAATGGGTGGGAAATTGGGAATACAGTACCATCTTTGACCTGATATGTCCAAGATGGTGTCCCTTTTTGTCTAGGGGATTTTGTGTGAATGGTTTTTTACTCTCATTTTAAAAAATTGTTTAATTAAGAGCAGAGACAAGCACAAGCCCAGGCTAAAGTTACCCAAGCAACAGGCCATATGCCCTTTTTTGGCTGGGCTGCCCTTCTTGAGGAAAGATTAAATACAAATTGTTGATGGATGACACCTACAATCTGAGTGGTTGCCCCTTTTTGTCGGTAAAACAACATCCCCTGAGAATTTCTGTGCATGTCCCAGATTAGGAGGCATGATACAAAAGGGATTTGACAAGTTTGCATGTATGCCAAGCCTAAAAAGCCACAAGAGGGCGACCTTTATTTCATTGTGGTAAAGTAAAGTTCGTTCTTGACAGTTAAGTATGCAGCTCAGAGTGTCGCTCTGGAGGAGAATTGAGGAGTGCAAAAATCATTTAAGAATCAAACAAGGGCAAAGGGAAATTAAATAGAAGAAAAGGGGAAGAAATATGTTAAAGCTAATATATTACCTGTCCTGTATATATAACTTAAAAACAAATTATACACAATTCTTTCCTCACCCTCATAAAACAGTGAGTCTGAGAGCCCAGAAAAAGATAATCGCATACCATAAAATCCAAGAATTGAAAGAAGAAGATCTTTCTGTTATGTGTTGTTGATGGAGTAAGGATGATGTGTTTGTACAAACAAGTCAACCGACCAGTCACTAAAGCAACCCAAACATTAAAACCCACACATCAGAACAAAGTGCAGACATAGCCCAACCCTCTTTGATACCTGAGATCTCGTGCTGCCTCAGCTCATTGTACTTGTAGGCCTGCTCCATCGGCTTGATGGATGAGTGGTAGATCTTCCGCAAATTCTCAATGGCCACTGAAGGATAAGAAAAGAGAGAGGAAAGGATGATAAAGATGCTTTACTGAGTAAAATGTGCCAGTTACAGGCAAGCGAAAAGCTTTCCATAAAACACATCCAATGTATCTTTGATCCTCACCTGCATAGTCTCCTGATTTGTCCTCAGTTGCAAGCCGCAGCGTCTCATCGATGTGAGATCTGTCTCTGAGGGCGGAGATGAAGTCTTCTACTTTTTCTTCCTCTGTAAAAACAACATTTAACTTGATTTAAGTCCTCACTGTTTGTCTTCAATTACAACATGAACAATGGAAGTTGGGCCAGGTTTCCAGATATGGTGCAAACCAACCCAGTGATTTGTATTATGAAGTTGCCACTGGGGCTAATGACAGACATGTTCAACTAAGCTATGCTACAGAGGCCAACAGCGCCGATATTTCTGGACGCAAGTCAATCAATGCATCCTGTATATACATATCAACACTGCTTGGAATTTAAGTGTGACACACATATTTGATAATAAGAAGTGGGAGACAGTTTTGCATTTGATGCCACTATCAACTAATGACACAGCAGATATTTGAGCTGTCTACATTTCAAGTGTTTCCAACCTGAGCCTTGATTTCCTCTGCAGCTACATCGTCTTTACTGCATTTCCATCTACCTCTCTGTCTCATGGTTTGTTTTTGTAAATACAAAAAGGTTATTGCATGATAGCCTCCCATAAAGTGTTTGTGTCGGGCAAAAATGATAACTAGCTATGCATGAAACCCTATTGATTGTTCGTGATGACACTGTGCCAGACGTACTCTGCGACATCCATTTCCTTCTGAATGATACATGCAGAGGCCAGAGGGAAATTGAATCATGCATTGTGAACAAGACATAACTTCATCCGGTTTTTTCCCTACAAATCCATCCATTTATTTATTGTTTTTGTACATAATTAACCCAATAGTTTCCACCCAAATATATGTTCATGACTTTGTGGCTATAGAGAGGAACAAAGTATTTGATGGTTTACAGTTTTGGGTTTTTAAGGTTCTCTATCCAAATAAAATGGGTGACTTTCCCTGATTGTGCATACATGCCATTTGGTGCTTTTTTACCCAAAGTGCCTTAAATGTTCGCACTCCGCAACATACACATGTCTAATTTTTCAATGACTATTCACCCCCTTATGCATGTGTATGCGAGAGAGAATCTTAGAGAACATATCCGCTCACCAGTGTGCCGTGTCCACTTACGAGCATGAACATATCAGATAGCTCAGAACTCAGCTGTTACTCAGCTCTTCATTTAGAAAGCAAAGGCCAAAAATAAACATAGCTATTTGTTTGGCATCACCATGGGCTTTATAGCAACTGCAAACATAAGGGGGGCAGAGAGAGAGAGAGAGAGAGAGAGAGAGGGGGACTTCCCCAGTTTCATTACAGACTGGGAGGAGAACTCAGAGCTGGACTGAGTGTTCCCATCAATAATACACACGATGAGACAATGATGTGCAATCCTGTGTCTTTCCTCTTCTATATTTACCCACCTATCAGGGACTCATCGCACTGTGGGGCATGTCCTTGTGTGTCCAGGCCTCAGAACAGGCCTCCCCTGTAACGCCTCCCACACGGTCCTGCTTCGGACAAACCTGCTACGGCTACATGCTATATATAGAAGGAATGGGGAAGTCTTCCTGGTTCACACTTCAATGTCCCTGAAGGGTTATGGGTCTGTGTGTCCAAGGCAGCTATTAGACACTCCCTTAATAGAGTTGTTAGGGAATTTTAAAGGTATTTACAGCATGCTATAGGAGTATTAAAGATGATAGTATAGCAGCGATGGGGATGATTCATTGCAATCATTCAATTGTAAATCATACTGTCTGTGTCTGGCATAATCTGAATATTGATTGCGTTATATAAATACATCGGCATACTTCTTGTCGGCACATCGGTTAATCCAGTTTACTGGCACAGGCAACATGTAAAGATAGTTTGAAAGGAATCCTTGATCATAAAAAAAGATTTTGATACAGGCTTCTAAGCTTGATGACAAAAACACTTGAACATGGCTGACTTATAAAACTAAGACTATAAAATAAGATGCCCTGTTCAGAGGATGAGACCTGCATGGACAATCAGAAAGCATGATAAATTGGCGCTGATGCTCCAGGTCACGACCCTGTGATCTCAGCTGGCCAATTCTCTGGTCAACACCAAACAGACCTGACTGATGTGAAGCAGAAACACTTAGTAGGGATGCTTGATTTTGCAGGTCAAGCACTCTTTTGCAGACATGCCCAAAACTTTGCTTTTTGTATGTAAACTGCCAACCGTCACTTTCTCTTTATTCATGTAAACAAACAACCATCTCTCTCTCGAAGTCTCTTCCAATGATTTCAAATGCTACTTAATTTTAATCATGTATGCTTACAATGTTTTATTTAATTTCATAGATTGCTGTTTTTTGGAGTCAAAATCAAACAAATGACTAAGAATAGGTTTATTATCAAAAAGCAAAGATGTAATAATGATTCAATATTGCAAATAGCATAATCAAAGCGACAATATGTCCAAATAATTACTTACGTATGCCACCTATTAATGTGTCTTTAACCTTATTACTTAATTCCTGATATTAGCTTAATGGCTTTTTGTATTATGCAGACATGTAAAGTAAATCTATGTGAGACACTGTCATGGCAACCTCCACCCTAACCTGAATTACCGGCACCAGCCATGTCGTCAATGAATTCTAGTGTTTCTGGCAAAGTGTCATATTGGCACATTGCTCTGGCCAGAAGTAATGGTGCATCAAATGACAGGAAATATATCAGAAGGCCTGTTTGTTTACAAGTCTGAAGCAAACTAGTTTTGTATTGATGAACAAATGATAATTGAAGAAGAAATGTATTCACAGTCAATACAATGAACCGAAGCATGGCTTCTGACATCTGAGGCAGAGATAGAAAATATCTCCCCAAAAGACCTCCTCAAAGTATGGCTGGTGCTTTAATTAAAACACCAACTGCGTTTTTGCAGTGTGGTAGCAGTGACACACACTGCTGGTTAAGGAACAACGTAGCACCACTGATTCTCCCCGAGTCGACCTGCTAAAAATAAGCCTGTGCAATGTTGCTCGCAGCACGATGCAAGAACAAGAGAAACCAAAAGGTTAGAAGCCAGAATAAAAGGAGAAGATGAGTAATACTGCAATCCCTAAAAAGATTCAGTGACTGATCTATATCTGTCATTAAATATTAAAGTGGCTATTTGTTAAGCTTAAATTCTCAATGAGTATTTTTAAGGAGCTCTGTAGGATGTGATGATAAGAAAAGCATGTATGAAAACAATGCAAGAGAATGAATCGAATTTGACAATAATCACCAATTAAAAGCATTTCAAATCAGCCAGTGTAGGTCATCTGACCTACACTGGCTGATTTGAAATGTATCTACATGCCAATACAAAATGTCTTTTGTCATGTTTTTTGGAAACAGCAGTAAGTGACATCTTGTTGCACAATTTGTGATACATGGCTATCATTTTGCAACCCCCGCAACTCATCACTTGTCATGGCACAACTGCATGTCAAATTGAGTCAAAGAGAAACACTGCACACAAAGGAATTTCAGTCATCTGAACCAACACTGAGTGAAGATATGGCACAAGATGAGTGATTTTGACAAAGAAGAGAGAAGTCAGCTTTCAAAAGAAACAGAAGATCCACTTGGATGCTTGAGGCACATTTCTTATCTTTTCACCGTATCAGGCCTGTACCCTTCAGCCGCAAAGCTTAGTTAACTTCTGTAACTTGACTCATCACTCAGAAGAGTCATGTCTTTTAACACAAGCTCTTGAGTAGGTTTTAACTGCTGTGGGAGTGTTAACACCTCCCAATCCAGCCGATGCCTGATAGAAGGCCTGGGACAGAGGTCTGCAAAGATCAGAGAGGTAGTGTTGCCCGCTGAGGGCGGGCCTTGCATCAGCGCTCAAAATTAACTCTGCAGGCGCCAAGGGAGTAGAACCCGCGACATTTGCGCTCAGGACCATGTGTCCTCGGGGAGCCGGTTGCCACACAACCCAGCCTCAGTTTGGAGAAACATTCTGGTGGCATCAGCACATCCGGTAGGAATGTTTGTGAGTTAAGCCTACCAGCGGCTTAGTAAGTCATGCCTCAACTATAGATCCTTGGGTGGAGGCTATTCAATAATCACAAGGAATGTCAATCAACTCCTGTAATTGTTAAACGTCTGTGTAAATATGTTGCTCAAGTTGAAAGAACACCATGGATGGACATTAATGTGTGTGCTTGTGTTTGTTTGCACTCATGTGCATTTACACTGTTTATATTAGGTATCTGTGTATGTTTAAAACCCCAGGATCATGTTCTGCTTGCAGCACAGTGGAGGTACATTGAATTATGAACATGATGAGGGACGACAAGCCTGGAACCCCCAGTCAGAGGATTTATCCTGAGCACGGGGGGATTCAGGCAACCTTTACTAAAGGCCAGGGGGTTCCACTGGAAATATCCATGGAGAGGCATTGGTTTAATTTAAAGCTAAACCGAGTGGACCATTTTTACAAAATCACTGTTTTTTTAAATACTAAATGTTATATACAGCCTTAATGTGACAAAAAAACAGCTTTCCTGATCACTCTAAAAGGACAATGCATATACTTTTGACTAAAAACGAAGCCCATTGAATATTTAAGAAACCTAGAACTATAAAAATGACTCTTCCTCTGGCAAGGGTCAGTGGTGGGAGAGCAGTCAGCAGAGCGTGTGCAGGGTGTGGTGAAAATAGGCCATGGATGGCAACAGGTGGAGCAGCTTCTGGAGCTAGTACTCCCCCTCAGTCAGAAATAGACCCACAATGGGTCAGAGGATGAACAGAGGAGGGGGCAGAATGGTTGGCTCCTATTTTAGTCAGTGTGTGGAGACTCAGATACATCCACATCCCTCAGATCGGAATCTGATTGTGTAATATACAGGGAAACGAGCAAAGCTACTGTACCATCATGTATGTTTTAAATAAAGTAAAGATTGGCCAAAAAAAAAGGAGAAATTTGCCAATTAGACACATTAAAGATGTATATTTGTATCTCAGGAATTTACACAAGAAGTGCAGTTAAATGCGTCTTCTAAAGTACGTTTCCACTATGGAATTTCGATATTTCAGACAGAAAGTATATACTTATAGACAGACTACTTTTGTTGGTGTCATTTGTTTTACTTGAAAGAAAAAATACCAATCAAACAGAAACATGACTTAATGGTTGTCAATGGCCCTAGAGTCTTTCTTATGTGAGCCACATCCGGACTGTAAGTCCTCTAAGGGGACACTGACATCTACGAATGTAGTTGAGGGACAGGCTCAAAGGAAGACAGAATGGCAAAGGCACTTTACCCTGAGGTGTTGATCTGACGCCTCTATCCCTGCTCTCCTATTTGAAAGCCAGGAGAGGACATTAAGTGCCCTTGGGACTGGGGGGCTTGTCTCAAGAAGGGGTGTGTTGTAAGGCAGTTAAGTATGACTGGTGTGTCCCTTCCACTACTACCAGTGTAGGGATGTCCCAGACATGCCACATGCCTTAAGAGAGGATTATGTGGAGCAGTGTGCCTTTAAATGTTGATGCCTCCCCTCTACAAAGTGACGACAAAGATGTTTTTACTGTATCGAAGATGGGTAGTGCTACCTCTAAAGTATAAACACAGTTGTGTGAAAAACTAATCAAGTTCCAAAACAGGCTGTTAAATGATTGTCAAAAATAGTCAGCGTCGCAATTTAGCAATTCATTACATCTTCACTATCAAACATTACATGTGACATTGGACACTGAACATGGTATGAATCCACGTTTGGTCTGTCAACACCATTCACACTAGACCTGGTTAGTCTAGGATTTCTGGCAACCTTATAATAACTCCATCGTGACTATAGCAATCTATGTTTACTTCTACATGGAAAGTGAGCGCAGCATCATGGAATCAGGTTGGTCATGAAATGCAAGTTGAACGACAATAAAACCAGGCTTCCCTTGCCTGATTCAATCATAAAATGAATGATCAAGCTATCAACATAGTTGATCAAGTTCAACTATGTTGTGCAAAAGTCACAGTATCCTTGCCTATCATCAAAATGTATCATTTTCAGTTTATCACAGCTTATTTATTACATTTGTGGACAGAAATGTGGGACGAGTGTAAAATATCAAAAACATCAGCTTTTCTACATGCTGGTGCTTTGAGTTGTATTTCTCACAAAAATGTGATGTTATATGCAATTAATTTATTTGCTTTTTGGACCAGAACATCTGCGCTTTCCAGGACTTCTATAAGATGACCCATGATCAGTTGATAGAAAGTCAATTTTAGATTATTTTGTAAGGAGATTACCCTTTCTTCTACTCTCTGCACTGTTAGCTACTCCAATGGATTCCTGACATTGATTGAACCAACCAACAACATAAATAATTGGACATTAAGCAGCAAGAAGTTTATGATTCTTCTCACAATTGTCCGTAACCAACAGGTATTGGAGTACAAATCAACACATAGTTTCCACATGCTGTAGATTACAAGACAGAGGCCACCAAAAGATGCACGGGCCTGCAGAAGGGGTCTATGAAGGCATGCATTGCAGCCATAGCCCAAGCCCTCCTGCCTGGAGAATGCATGTCCCTATAAGGCCAACTGCTGGGAATAAATTGCGATTGTGACAGTGCAGAGTGACAGCAGCTGTGCAGTGCATCTAAAGGGAAGCATTGGGCTGGGAGGGGTGAGGAGTCAGGAGGGAAGGGGAGAGGAGAGGGGGGGGAAGACTGTAGTGGACAGTGTTGGGTTTCAGGAGGCCTTCCAATCTTAGACACCTGACAGCAGCCTGGAATATGGAGGCCAGGGCCCAGCCATGGAGCTCAACGCCGACCCAAGGACGGACAAGGGTGACAGACAAGGGTAATGCCAACCGCTTTGCTCCAGACCCGCAGACCTGTCTTCAACTCCATTGCTGCCATGTTAACATATTGATTCCTATATTTGTATTTATACTTTGTATTTTACGATGCTATAGGTTATCGTCCAGATAATGTTGCCCCCCACATGTAAATGGGTATAAGTATTTATTCCAAACCAAGTTGTGGAAAATTAATTAAAAAGAAGCAATGAGATCACATCTATGAATGAAAAACTATAAATGACATCAAAGTTCATTGCCCATTCAAGCTCCCGCGTGGCTGTTCTCCCCCTGGTTAGACTTTCCATCAGCTGGTGCCATGCGTTACGACAGCTGACATGCTGTCAGTGATCGGGAGAGGCTGAACTCTCGATTGAATGATCTTTAACTGCTCTGCTTTGTAAAGTCACCAAAAGGTTTGGTACATAACAAGTGAATTAGAGTGTTGTGTTTGTTTTGGATTCGAATTAATAGACAATTAAAAACTAATTCAAAGGGACACTCAAGTCTGTCATTTTGTACGGGGCGCCAGCAGTTTAATTTTAAACTGAGACAGGATTATTATAGTCCTGCTTGATGGCAAAGAGGGACCGGACTAACATTTCTGTCTCCATCCAGTCTATCCTCGGTTGGTGTCCCCATGACTGTCTCTGTCCCCACACACTCTAGAAGCCAGTGACATTTCCAAAAAAACTGCGCAAACATTTGACACAAGAACTATAAAACTTTCAACCATCTATGTTTAACAGTCTAAATCAAAGCTTCTGAATCTCAGAAGGTTTTCGTAGTAGATCAAACTCACAAAGCAGCCAGGAATCCATTTAACATTCCTTAAACCAACTTCCAAACCTACCCTGCATCACTGTTTCATTCATTAGCAACATTTGTGTGGAAACGTATATCTAGAGCCTTAAATGCACCACCCAACATAAAATATGAGGAATCCACGGATATTTGACCAAAATGCTTACTAAAAGTCTTACCTGCTGTGGCCTGCAAAAGCAGCAGGGACAGGAGACAGCTGATCACGACTGTACCCTTCATGATGGCTGCCAGGAGAACTCTGATAGTCACACAGACTATATATACCAAGGCAGGAAGGTTAAAGGGCATGCAGATTGAAGAGGAGGGGCACAGAGAGGGCCAGCTGGTGGAGGGGCTGGGATCTGTGTGTGAGGGCCTCTATGTGTGCAAGCAGCTGACTTCTTTTTAAAGGGGTTGCAGCTTGGGCCTCTGCAAATATTTCGGCAAAGACCTCGCTAAACGGGTCAGTGCTGAATAACACAACTTCTTTCTGACGATCATTTTAAAGAAATTGTGTTTTATAGACTGGAAGTAGATGGTTTGAAATGAGCAACAATTCTAAGAAGATGACATTAATAGAATGGGATTAAAGGCAAACTGGTGTGAAATCAGCAATTTTAGAGGCCTAAAAGTAAAACGTATTATATGTTATTTTTTCTTTTCCGCATAGAGTAAGATCAGAAGATTGATACCACTCAGTCTGAATCAGCATCAACATGTGTACCAATTGTTTTACTTTGGAGAATGGGCCATGCTAGCTGCTAGCATGCAATATGGCAAATGGTAAATGGACTGTGTGGCAGTGCAGTGAGCTGGCCAGTCACTTCAATAAGGAAAAGAACATCACCTTCCTCTAAATTAGTAACACAAACGTTAATACAAAATCACATATTTCACAAATTGCAGCTGCTAGGGTTGCTTTGTGCAACAACAAATAATGATCAAATGACTGTAACAACTTTACCTAACTTTAACAACTTAACTCCCTAATTTTCAGGAAATGTTCATCAAGGTAATACGCTTTTAATGTTAATTTAGACACAACGCTGCCAGATTGGGAAGTAATCATCATAGGACTGTGTGTGAGAGGCAGGGATGAGAGCTGAAGAGAGGGTATGTCTGGAAAATGTAGACCCTCGAGTCAACCCAGAATCCGAGTTAAACGCTAGGCGGATTACTGCTTTATCACACTCAAGCAGACACACTGTGCAGAACATAATCTCACAATTCAAGGGAATAAACATCTCAACTATAAATTCATCCTCAAATATAGCAGGACTTTCTCACTCAAGCATGTCCATCCCTAATGACTCTGGCAGCATGTCCAAACAATACAGCATGTTCATTTTGGTGCGTAAAACTGCCTTAATGCTTAGAAACTTCACGTGGCATGAATATTTGTTTATCTGTGCTTTTTATGAGCTAAAACAATTATCTTTTGTTAATTACTGTGACAGGCGCTGAATTCAGTAGTGTGCCTTTAAAAAGTGTTTGTAAAATGTGCTTTGTTGTTGCTTTTTTTGACAATGAAAAAAGTCACAGAATATAACAGGTGTTAAGTTGTTAAATATGTACATGGTTTTCAAGTGGCAATTGTTAAAAGACTATACTTTTCAACCGTTATTTCACAAATGTAGAAACAGAAGGCTCTTCACCTTAAAGGGATAGTGGAAATCCGCGAATTTTGGGTTTAACTTATGTATTTGTATTAAAAATAAGCATAATAAACAATTTTTTTTAATTTCATGCGCCTAGTTTCATTTTATTTTCAATTTTACTGCGCCCTCTCAATGAAACGAAATACTTCGGGAATCGTCGGGAATCTTCGGGTGATGACGAGAGCAGAGGAAGACGGGCACAAACAATGGCGGACATTCAATAGCATTTGCATGTGAATAGCCGACCTTTATTATGGTGAATAGATGTGTTTTGTATGGCTGTAGTGCGACAGCAAATGCAGAGAATGGCGTATCGACTCATGCGTTTCCAAGAAACCCAGCCATTCGTCGTCAGTGGGTGAAATTTGTTCAGAAATTGTCACTATAGGTAATACTATAAGACTGTAAGACGGCAATACTTTATACCGAGTATATTGCCATAAATATGATGATTGATTATCAGTAAAAAATTCTACGTGACACAACGACATTGGATTAACCTTGAGATGCGTTTTTATTCCGTTGAACACAACTTTTGATCACAAATCAAAAAAGGTAAGACGTAATTATTGTAATATTTTTGGAACCGGATGTTGTTTACTTTCTCTTTTCTGGCTGATAGTTCCAGGAATTCGAGGTCTTACAGTGATGACATTACATCTGTGGAGTCTCAGCTTTAAATCGTATATCTTGTTTGTGCAGTTAAGATAGTAATAAGGGCATTTCTACCGTGTGTTGTGTGTAAAAAAGCGTTAGCATTAGTTAGCATTGTTTCGCTCAATGCTAATTCAAAGGCTTGGTATTACTCTTGTGTTTTTTCTAGCTAACAATTGTTCTTATTGTCAGTTAGCGGAGTTTCTTACCTTTAAAAGGGTATGAAACATTAATAGTTTCATAAATGTTAAGAAGCCCTGAGACATGTGAGAGGAAAACAACTGTGGGAGGGGTCCACTGGGGGGACCTTCGGGCTTAACTGGTTAACAATGATTCATATTTGTAAAGGCTACAGGTGATCTTAAGATGCGTGAGCTATGCTTAGGGACCTACCAGTCAAGATTATTTGTGCAGGGGTGCATCATCTGGCGCCTGCTCCTGGTCATCCTCGCCATTGCCCATGCCGTGAACCATCACCTCGGGCTCGGGCTCGAACAAATAAGGACGTAATGGTCCATCGTCTGGCTCAATATTGTCACCATCGTCGCTTACTGAACCGGATTCAGATTCAGTTCCTAAAACGACATTTTCGTAGGAAAGCCGAGAGGATGTTTCTGACTCGCTATCATCACTGGATACCTCGTACAATCCTTCTTCTTTGTCTGGTATATTTGCCCTTCCACGTTCATTCTGCATAGACGCCATAGTTTGTTATCGTATCGTCTTCCTGAGTTTTCGTCACTTCCGGTTTGGCTGAGTCGAACATTTCGTTTCTAAAAAACTTCGGGGAAGCTGCAATAAAGTGCTTCTAACATGCGTAAGGCAATTATTATATTTTTTTAATCAGGTGTGATTGTTTTGGTACGTAATTATGCTTGTATATAAGATAAAACGAAACTATTTGAGGTTCCATTTACACTATCCCTTTAAGGGAGATATATGTTATCAATGTTAGTACATAGTGCTTAGGTTCTTAAGTACTATGTACCACCTTTACCTTACAAAGTGGAGCTTTGGATGTGTCTAAATACCCTCTTAAGAACTACTTAATCCCTTAATACATCTGCCTATCCATTTCTCCAAACTCCTCAAAAGTTGTGTTTTTCTCTACCTATCAAGGCTATAGGAAACAAAACAAAAGTAGGTATGGTTTAGACTCTGGACACAAAAACCTGAGGTCTTGCTGGATAAATGTGTGAGGGTGTGAACATGAGGCCTGGAATGAATGAATGCATGTCAGGGGATAGTGGCAGGAGATGCCACCTACTGTCCCTTGTGTACATTTTAACTGTCACAGGACGTGGTGGATCTTAATTTAGCGATGAGCTGTTGAGCAAGAGAGGGAGGTGGGGCTTCAATATCGCAGCCACCAATCAGGAATAGACACTTGGACATCAACTGTACTGCTTGAGTGATGGCCAGCCACAACCAGAGCTGGTACAAATTCAGCTGCTTATGTCATTATTCGTGCTATGATAACCGTTATCAACTCAGAACTGGAGTGAAACACTTGTTTCAAAGACTTAAAAAGAGAGAAACAAAGTCACACACTAGGAGCCCAATGCATAAAAAACAAAGTACAAACTTTATTATTCTGTCTTTACAAAGGCACAAGCCTCTTTATCCCCAAAACATTTCTTTAAAAAACAAAACAAAAAACACAAAATAGCTTCTTGACGACCATAAGCACTGACAGGTCTAACAAAAAAAGATACAGATAACAGACGAATGGAAAGGGAGATGAGGGAGCCATCAAATGTGTAACGGGGTACAAAAGATATTGAAAATAGAAAAAAATAAGACAGCTAAATAAGATTTTGCTAAAAATGTGATGGTCAAACAGGACAATGATGTAGGAGGTCTTGACATGAAGGAGAAGGGGAGACACAGCTGTGCGGCTTTTACTCATAACCTCAAGAGCTTTATCTGAGGAGAAGCTCCTTTATACAAAAGAAAGAGGCCAACTCCATAGTACAGTAAGTGCTTTGTAATGTTGACCCTATTAAATGATCCCCAGGCCCACCCCACTCATCTGATATGTCCACTTAACATTTCCTAACACACAGAACAAAGTTTAAAACACATTTGGAAATAAAACAGTTCTGGTTTTCAGCAGAAAACGAATAAATGAAAATACTCAGAGAAAAAAAGCACGGGCTCTACAAAAAGCAAAGCTTGCAAAACACATTTTTAACATATAGGAATCCCCTGCCCATAGTGACAGGGAGATGTCCCACGATTTGACAGACACGTTGCTCTTTTTAGTGCAGCTGACATCAATATTTCTTTAAAGGGCAATTCCATGACATAAATCATGATAGATGAGTTGCGTTCAATTGAACACATTATCTGTCCAGCAGTTCAAAGCTCCATCTATGCATCCATGCAGGGGATATTAATAAGGAGTTTGTCCCTAAATGCGATTCTAAAATAGCATGATATGTCAAAAGCACTAAATGTAATCTCTAAATACACCAGGGTTCACTTTTGAAAAGTAACCTGATAGGGAAAAATGTGTAAAATGTATGGAATGTCAAAATTCATTGTGGAATTTTTCCCCAATGAATCTGAAATCTGGCTTTAGTAGAGAACACTAACGGGACAACAGTTGAAAATCGACATGTAAGTCTAACCAGCAGTCAGTATTCGGATACATTTTGAATAACTGGGGAGTGCTTGAATGTAATAAGTACAACTGCCCGGTTTGTGGCAAACACAATACAACAAAAAGAAGAGACAAAAAAACTGGAAATACACTGTATATTCCAACACACCTGGGTGTTTGCAAGCCTGTTTGGGAAGGCAAAGGAAAACCAATTCCACCGGCCACCAAGCGACCCAGATCAAGTGTTCAGATTTGCCTCTCAGACCCCATGGCTGTGTTAAGGCTGGCTTCACAGTGCCTCCCTGCACCATCGGGCTATTAGTAAGGCAAGCTG